TCCACTATGTTTACAACTTAGTTTAAGATTTCTTGCAGAAGAAAATACAGGTATAATATTTGAAGTACAATATAACATCTTATTTTTTAATTAACTCTTTTAATTTAAAGGTTACATGTGATATTATAAATATTTACTTATTTATTTTCACAATTGCAAAATAATAGATTTTTTTATTTAAAATTTATACATAATATTATATATAATAATATATTATATTAATTTAGTATCATACTAAAATTATAAAATTATAATTTTTATATTTAATTCACGTATTTTTTGTTATGTACTTGCTGTAAGACTTTTACATTGAACAAAGACCACAGTTATCAGCCCCTCCGTCTACATTCACATCAACCTCCCTTAATAACGTTAAACAATATTGAATGTTAAAAGTCGTATGCTTAATTGAACCCCTCTTTTGTCCTTGGTTCAACTCATCTGAACAACACGGCCAACCAACCGTACATACAACTTTGTCCGAACACGTGTACCTCTCAATCTGTTATTTCTGCAAGTCAAGTTACCATCGCGTATTCCAATTATGTGTGAGGCCGTAGTTTGTCATTTTGAGGCGAAATTAAGGATAGTTTAGTAATTTTAGGCATCGGCTGCTTGAATTTGGGCTTTATAAGAGTGGTGTAGGAGCTTCAACAGGGCGTTGTTACAGTTGAGCTGTAGCTCATAATTGAATCTTCCTCTTCTTCTTTTCTCTTCTAATTTGCAGAAGGTATGAAATTATCGTAATTTCATGAAAACTATATATGTTCTTATGTGTAGTTTCCATCAATCTTTTTTGTATTAATATGATTATGTACTAAACAAAAATGAAATCTAAATTTTATGAATGTTAATTATTTTTGGCAGACAGTTATTAGTTGATATTCTACAAAATGGAGAAACCACCGACGGGGTTGCCTCGGGCGAAGTCGGACCAATTGGTGGAGTCCGTGGCAGCGGCATTCAAGTCTCCTCCTACGCAAGGTGAGGCGGCGGCAGCGCCGGACAGTGGTGGTTCCACGCTCTCTAGGAAGTCTAGCAGGCGGCTGATGCCTGCATCCCCTGGGCGGAGTGGCAGCAGTAGCAAAAACGCGCACATTAGGAAGTCCAGGAGTGCCCAATTCAAAGTTGAGTTGGATGAAGTGAGTAGTGGCGCCGCCTTGAGCCGAGCCTCCAGCGCCAGCCTCGGCCTCTCGTTCTCCTTCACCGGTTTCGCCATGCCGCCGGACGAGATGGCCGATTGCAGGCCCTTCAGCGACGATGACATACGTAAGTGTCGTGTTTCTCATGCAAACTTTTGGATTTTAGTGGTCCTTATTTAATTGGGTTTCTTTTTATTTTTCCCTTTTGCCTTTTAGTTCTTATCGTGAAAAAAAAAAAGTTGTTATTACCAAAAAAAGAAAAAAAAAAGTCTAGATTTCCAATCTTATATACTTATAATATATACTATACAAACTCATACAAAAAAAATATAAGTAATTCTTCTTAATTAATGAATCTATAAATTCACCTATATCCACTCATATAAATTTAATTTTATGTGATTGTGTGAGATAAAATTATATAGTCAAGAAGCAAGCAATTTCCATCAAAAAAACATACTAAAAGATTAAATTGTATAATTTAATTCTACCAAATATATGTAATTTATTGAAAATGTGTCAAACTAATATATACTAGAAAAAAAATTTATTTTCCATAATTACAATTGCTTGTTGAGTTTAAGCTTTTAAATCTTTCTTCTTCTTTTTTTACAATATAATTTTCTAAAAATACTTAAATAATTAACTTCTTAATAAAAAGTTGAATCAATTTCTATTCATATGGTATGTTGTAGAGAAAGTTTGATCAAAATGCTCGACGGATATAGACAAAGAGGCATAGTCACCAAGAAAAATTAAATTTACTTTTCACCCCGTTAACTACATAAAGTTCAATAATGATGAGAGCGTACAATAAAAAGAGACCGCACAAGAGAACAAGTGGGTGTGGGTATTTTCTTCTTTTCTTTTCTTTTCTTTTTTTTTTTTTAAGTTTAGATGATAAATTCTATAATAATTCTTTTTCCTTATTCTCCCTCCCTTACTTCATAATTAAAATTTTTAATTTAAAATTTCAAGTTATTAACACTTGAAACAGCCTATCAAAAGTAAGAGGCCTCACAAGCGAATCCTTTAGATGTGTTATAAATGAAAATTAGTGTTATGTTAATTTTATCTTAAAAAAAAAAAAAAAAAAAGAGAGGAAAGCATTTGGGTGATAGATGCTCTCCACTAGGGTAATAGCCTAATGGGTATGGGTGTGTGGGCAATAATTTGCAAACAGAAGTGAGTGTGGTTGGTGAAGTGGGAAGAAATGATTGGGGTGCCGTACACATGAAAAAGTTGGGCTTCCCAACTTTTGATATAAGCCACCAAAAATGCTCCAAAAGGAGCATTAACCCCTTTGGACCTTTAGGAAATATAAGTGAGCTGATGAGGTTTGAAATTAATGGGAAGCGGAGGGTGAGAAATGGGGGCCCTGCTTTTACAGAAAGAAGGAAAAAGGGATTTTGTTCCCCTTCACAGCTCGCCATTATAGATTTTGAAAATTTTGCATCAAATTTTAACGTTCCACCAACCTCAATCATGCATCCACTGTTTTTACGGTAGCCTAAACCGTCTCACTTTTGACAAATAAAATTTGAGTTTGAATCATACCGTATAAATAGGTTCTGGGATCAGAACGGTGAGAATGAATTTTTTTTTCTTTTATAATCAAGGTATTCTTATATCAATTTTTATATATTTTAAAATGAACATTTTTTTAAATAATTAATTTTTAGGTCATGACCTCAATATATTAAACTCTAACTCTAATTAATAAAATGAAACTCATTTTTGTGTAGATCAAACCCTTAGAGTTGCATAATGAAAATGTTTGAATCATTCCCTATAAATAGGTTGGGGTAATTAGAGCGTTGAGAATGAATGATTTTTTTTTTTTTATTAATCAAGGTATTGTTTACATCAATTTTTATATATTTCAAGATAAAACAGCTTTTTAAATAATTAATTTTTAAGTCATGACCTCTATATATATATATATATATATATATATTAAACTCTGAATACAACTAAGTAAAATGAAACTCATTTACGTGTAGATCAAACCCTTAGAGTTGCATGATGAAAATATTTGAATCATATCGTATAAATAGGTTGGAGGTAATTACCGAAGCGTTGAGAATGATTTTTTTTTTCTTTTTATAATCAA